AGGCGGCGTGTCCAAAACTTGTCCACATCCGGTCTGCACGTATACATCGAGCTGGTTTTCTTTATTTTCACCGTCGCTGGCCAGGTCTTTTAAGATGTCATCCATTTCTTTGTCGTCTAGGAAATTCAGGGTCGGTTCTAGGGCGTGAATGGGATCGTACATGTCAGCGTTGCTGTTGACGGTCGGGACGATTATCAACAGTCCACACGTCACATCCGAACATGCCATACGGCGGATACTCCTGCTTCTTTGGTGCCGGTCCGAGAATCGCGGTGATACGTTGATAGTTCAATGGATCGAGCACAACCCGGTTGAATTCTGTAGTACTTTAACAGATAGCCGAACTGCTGCGCCGTAACAACTTCAGCATAGACAGGGCTGTCAGGACGGATGGGTACAAGATGGACAAAACAATCGTTAATGGAATGAGTAAGACGATCGAAGCCGGTCTGGAACACAGTCTTCTCGAATTCCTGGTAGAAACTCAGCGAGAAGCAGAGCGGTGACTTAGGACTGCTGAACAACATAAGGACTGAGCGCTCTTTGGAGGCGCCGTGCAGCTGTTCCTCTTGTGGATAAAACAGCTTGTAGTATAACCCGCAGCAGCTCGACATCTCTTCCGGTGTGGGAAGTAGATAGTCGTGCAGCGTAGATTAACAACGCCCGGAAGTGCAAAGTGTCCTTTGCAGTTCGAGGGCGGATTGCTTCGGCCGGGCCATAGCTTAAAACTTGACATATCTCCAAGAAACCAAATAGAACAGCATGCGAGTATAACACTTTAAAGCTAAACACGGTTGGAACCGACGAAATAAAATTTTAGATCCTTGTTGAACGTTAAATGAATTTTGAAAATGTATGCGTGGACATTGTCCACATGTTCCGTGCTTGACTGTATTTGTTACTGTGTGTATGTGCCACTAGGTTACTGATGCATTCATGAGACTGGTCGCTTTCAAATCTGTGTCACCACCGAGTACGCCTACAAATGGCAAGCGCATAAATGCAGCTGCCCTTGAAATTGATATATTGTATTATTTTGTGATAAGCGCAACGTTCACAGCGGGACATTGCACATCAACCTTTAATATTTTTCAACAGCATTTCCTTTTTCATACCACCCAGTTCGGCTACGTACTTAACAACAGCAGACGCCTTATGGGCGTTAATTTTCCCGTATTCAGATATCAGACATTCAACAATTTTCTTGGCAATGCGCATATTGGATTTGTGTTTGTAGAAATCTTTTGCATTCGATGCGCAGAAATACTTGGACTTTAATTAGCTTAATTAACAGCGCCCGTACTGCATCGCTCGCTACCAAATCAGACGGGATAACTCTCCCGTAATCAACTGGAACTGCCAGATCTGGTAACAACGCGTTACCATATTCGTCAAAATCGGCTTCATGGGAAAGGCGAAATCCCTGCTCAATAAACTCCTGATCGAAATCGTACTCTTCCAGAACGTCGGAAGATGCACTATCGCGTGCATCCGGTGGTAGGCTGCGGGATCGCATATATGCACGTCGATTCCACCATAAAACGTCTCCATACGATCAACTAGTTCGCGATCGGTCTCGTTAAGATACTCTGAATGACGCTTCTGATACTCTTCAAACACATTCATCTAAAAAAAATTTTGAAAAAATTTCGAATTTGGTATGCATTTATGATGCAACATATCACGTAAAATCGAAGTTGCTTACCAAAATCGAAGTTTTAATTTTATGGATTTTTTCAGTTTTTTCAAGTACACTGCATATGCAACAAAGGAAAACAGTTATTCAAATTATCAAAGCGATAAAGGAGATGAAAAAGCGCAGCTGACAATAAATAAAAGCTATGCTGCCATCGTAGCACTTAATCCTACTTATCTCTGCGGGATACCGACAGATCAACGCACAAAAGAAAACCGTTAAAACTTTACACTCGAGTAACTCAGCTAATTCGCTGCGACAGTATTTGTACTAATCTGTTTGAAGAAATGATATAAAATTTGACTGTAAACTGATCAACGCTCTTGTGCTGAAGATGAAAATAATTACTGTAGATGCGCTAACAATGCTTATATTAATGTGCTTAAATACTTGTATGATTATCACTGTACTTATGCGCGCTGTGTATTGTATGTATTTTACAATACTAATATGCTGTCATGAATAAATACGCCACACTGCACAATCAAGAGATGTACACTGTACACAGAACACGTGTAAACAGATAAAGCATTCACAAGCAACACGCACATAATTAGTTGCACTTGCATGTACGCATAAATAATGACGGTTCGATAAATTTAAAAAAGATGGGAATAATATTACGAATGTTGAAACGATGTAATAAAAATAAAATGAAAAATTAGAAAAATTCGGTTATTATTGCAGCATTTTTTGTTAAAACACTCGATATTATAAACGTATAAGCGTACATACAATACTGAATAATTGTATCTGTAACACCGGTATGCAGTATTGAATAGCATGTATTAATAGCGCACGTCAGCTTTGCCATTGAAATTTAGTTGGCATTAAATGATTTTGTGAACGGGTAAATGTATCGCACTTATTTGGGAATTACTTTAATATTTTACCCTTAACATTAGTATTTTGCTATATTGTTATAATAATTTATTGAAATTATTCAGCGCAATTATTGCGAGCAAACACACAGGCACGTACACCACAAGCACACGATAGCGCATAACACTATTCCTAGATTTTTTCTTTATTTATTTAAACTTACTACTGTCGGTATGGCCAGTTCGCGGCGTCCAAATGGTACGGAAATAAAACCGCACGTTATAATGGGCAAATCTGTGATAAAAGAGCGCTTATTAATTTAGCGAAATATTATTAGCAATAAAAGTGTGCATATATACGGATACAAAGACCGTACAACAACACTGAATTAATATTATATAAAATATATTTATTAAAAGAGCAGTCAATTACGGCAACACGGTGTTGGTACAGCGCGAAAACCAGATATTTTATACGTACTAACGCAAAATACACATGATGTACAGTACGTAAATGATGTACAGTACGTAGTGTGTATGACATGCAGCATACGAATTTTCTATAGATGTGATAAAGAAATTACGGTAACACGGTGTTGGTGCAGCTACTTAATTTTTACTTGATTTTATTAAAATATTTTGAAATTTTAATTGCTTACCGTGAGCGCCTCACGGAGGTGTTGTTTAGTGCCGGGAGATGGGTGCGGCACACTGATTAGGCGTGGGAAACGTCGCTAGCACAGCAGGGAAGCAAGCGCTCGTGATAGAAGCTCCTACAGAACAAAATCCCAAAACATATACACGCCTGCAAACCAAGAGCAGCGCCGGAATTTTTAATAAAATAAATTTTAAAAGCGTAATCAACCACGATAACACGGTCTTGGTGCATCGTCAGAACTGTGCACATAATTATTTGTTTTAAAATTTTCCAGATTTTCGGAAAAAGCAATAAAGATCGCGCAGTAGATACACATTCAGTACGAGAAATCCGTCAGCATTGTGTCTGAACAGAGAAACGCTTGCTCTCGCAGATTATTTATTTTATTTTTTATATTTTTGATTTTCCGAGCGCATTTACTGAACACCGCGCAAGAGACACACGTTCAGTGCTAATAAACCATTAGCAACAGATTCGAACAGAGAAACACGTGTTTGCGGAGTATTTTTTAGTAAAAAATGAACTTTCGCTTATTTGCCACACACTTCGAACAAAACTGTCCGAAATATGCCGTAGTCTCGGTCGTTTTATTTTAATTTAAATTATCTACACTTACAGTCTGTGGATAACGTGGAAATGTCAGTGGGTGTGCTGCGCTGACGATGGGGAAAGCTGGCGCGATACCTGTAAAACAGTCGCAGATATCAGCACCATTGCCTCTGTGCATTTCCACATCTGGCACAAAAACCGTAGGGAAGCGCGCTTTTATATTTTATAATTATTTTTATAAAATTTCGCACTTACGCTGAGCTGAACTACGGCAACACAGTGCAGGTGGACGGTGCGCACACTGGGAATCTGCAAAATAACGCAGATATCAGTGCCAAAACACTGTACAGTCGTACAATTGTACGAAAAAAAACAAACCGCACACATTTTAAAATATTTTTTATAATTATTTAAAGTACAAAGTACTTACTTGAGCGACAACACGCGCGGAGAGACGATACGGGACCACAGTGCTGACGCAGCAGATCTCCAAACAAACTGGCACGTTTGAGTGCCTGAATCAACGGATTCCGCGAAAAAACCAACCGAGGCGCGAAAAAACACACACTCGTACACTGTCCTTAGCAGAAGGACAAAAATCCAAGGAGTAGTACGGCGGGATGACGGGAAAACGTTGGGGTTTTCGCAAATGTAAATTCTAATATTTTTAGAATTTTTGAGGAGCCAAGATATGGCGTTGGCCAAACTACGCCGTGTGCATAGCGTCTTCAAGACGCTAGCCAAGACAGAAGCCTTTGTGCGTCAGTTACACATACACCGTACACGCACGCTCAGGTGTGGTGGCGCTGCTAACAGCGCGCGCTTTTTTACTTGTACATATGTACATATATGTAATTAGTACGGTAATTAAGTTTTTTATTTGTACAGTGTGTTTTTTATTCGTTCAGTATGTTTTTTAATTTATTTTCATATTTCTTAACTCGTTAATTAGAAAAAATGAAATTTAACTATTGTTTCCACTAATGAATTACGTAACTTAATGAAATTAATGTAAATTACTGTACTCTATTGTTTAATTTAATTAAAAGTAATTAAAAAGTTAATTATAGGCAGGTGGTACTGTATATACAGGCAGGTGGTACTGTACGGACCCCTGGGGTGTTCCTGGCAGTGGATGTCTGTGTATTCTACTTTATGATACTTCGAAGTATGCCAGTTGTCGCTCTGGCTGTGTTTCCTGCCACTTTGATCATGTTCGGCAACGTAGTTTTATGGCTTATACTTTATGGTAAAACCATCAGTATAACGAATAAGTGCATTACCGAAATACTGCTTAAAATGATTCAGATTTATGGCTTATTGATTCAACTTCTTTTCACTTCTTGCTCGCTGTAATCTCCAGAACGGATCATTCTGTCCTTGATTGAATGTAATTGTTTGAGAGTTTAAATTTTTACCGTAAAGGAGGTACCCGCGCTTGCACTTGTGTTAAAAGATAATAAAGTATTATCTTTTCTGTCTTTTACTTTTACTTTTTTAAACTGTACGCAGTGGCTGGATATACTATCGGTAACGCGAATTGTTCGCTACCTAAGAAGAGTGCTTCTGCAGCGACTTCTTGCTATGTGAATTTCTAAAAAGTAAAGAAAATCGTTTGAGCTTTATTTTGGGTCGGTCTGGTGTTTGTTTGACATTTTCGTGCATGATGTTGATTAATATTCCGTTGTTTTCGTAAATTACTGTGCCAGCTCGCTTTTCAGTGCGAAAGAGATGCTACCGCGAAGAGAACGCCTCGCTACAAGAAGTGGAGAACAAGCTGAAGGAGCGCATCGTCCATTTAGAAGGCAAGAACGCGCTGGTGCCGCATGCGCATCAGAAGCGCTTCACATGCGAGGAGGTGGCGCGGTTGGTGCAGGAGAAGAACAAGTACAAGGAGCAGTTCATGGAGCTCCAGGACGAGATGCGCGCCATACTCTCACAGAATCAGCGCGTCGTCGTGCAGCAGCGCCGCGGCCGGTCCAGCTTCTTCAAATTGTAAGTGGCAGCGTGATGAATAAATGCAAAAAGTATCAAAAATACAGGCCGGCTGGAAAAAGAATAATATAATGAAAATCGCCGCTCGGATTGTTCATCGGATCGTTATTATAAGTTATACTAGTATTGCATGCATTCACGTAGTGTGATGGATCTAAGATGATCTTCCGGTTTATTTGAAATGATTAACCCTTTAACGATTATGATAAATATCGAATAATTGGGTATATGCATTTTTCTTTCGTTATCTTTGTGTTCATTTGTCGATAATTTTTTTCCTTTTGTCGGTTAACAGAGTAAATTAATAATCAATTGAGCAAAGAAGCGTATGCGATACAGTGATGCAGGATGTTTAATTGGGATATGTCATAATGTAGCATTCGTTTTTCAGCTTCAGTGGCCTGTTTGGGAGCACCGGCAGCCGCGAGAACAGCGCCGTCCGCTACAACAACGACCACACCCTCCCGCCCTCGCCGGGCGGCGGCACCATGTCCCCCTCGCAGTAGAGCACCGCGTCGCGATCTCCTCCCGCCTCGGAAGCGGCGCCCATCGACACCGCCGACGTCGTCGACCTCCAGGAACATTATAAACGGTGGGTACTGGGTCTTATTTTTTGCATCACGTAGTTGGCATTATTTCTGCGTTGGTGTGCGCTAACACGCGGTTTTAGGATTGCTACGGCGGCGGAGAACGGCGGGACGCCGCAGGAAAGTCCTCCCACCGGCGACCGGGGATCCTGTGGGTCCATAATTCAGGGCGATCGGCCGGGAAGGAGACGCCGAGTGGGCGGGTGCAGGCGTTCGGATGGAGTGTGCCGGTGGTCGCGGCAAGCGGAGCTGGTATTGTGTTTGGCAGTGTCGTCGTCCCGAAGCCTCTCTACTCCCGGCCGTTGGTGGAGAAGGATCCCGATATGAAGGTACGCGCGAAAATTAAAGTGAATAAAATGGAATTATGTAAAATAACTAATATAAAAGTTTGACATTAAAACTATATTACCAAAACAATAGGCAATTATAAACGTACATAAATGTACATTTGCATTATTTAAAAAATTAAGTATTTACGAAATATACCACAATATGATGTATCGTTCATGGTACACTGTCAAACCTGAATTTAGACGAGCAGGCGGCTGCAAGAAGCCAGTATTCTACGTTTGTTTGGTTATAGATCTGGTGTGCAGTGGGCATTCAACTGCCACCACGCACGCCGACCGCCGATGCGACCGAACCGGGCTCGGATGCCTTGCGCGAACAGGCGTACGCAGTCGCCTCGTCCGTCATCTGGATCTGCAGTTCCACCCACTCCAGTGCTCCAGTGGCAAGGTGACCGTCATGGACGCCAACCGAGAGCTTCCCCGTCTGTTCATCGCATCTACTGTGCATGGGTTACGTTCCAGGTGAGCCATTGGACGAGGGAGAAATCGATAATAACGAGGGAGAAATCGGTTTGGTATTGTTTTAATAATTACATTTTGTTCTCCGGTAATTAGGTAAAAAATGTAGTTCGGATAAAAACTGCGAATTACCCGTTGGTTACGTTGCTTACGTACAGCGACTGGGATTTCCAGTACGATGATTATATTGTGAAGTTATGGTCAGTTTTTATTGTGCATCTTGCTTGGTTTTCTTGCTGGGAGGAGTTATTTCAGGTCGAAAAATTTACCGTAAATTAATTTTGGAAATTGTTTTCATGATGCCGTTAGGAACTGCCTCAATTTAGTCGAACTTTAAGGCGCAACCTCTGTACTACGATATTATCAGTGTATGATAGAGCAGGATCTGTACTTGTGACTACATAGTGGCTGATTTAAAGTGGCTGTTTTCTATCGAGTTGCTGTACGCTGTCTGTAGGCATTCATGACGACGTGGAGATCCCGGTGCCGGTGGAGAAGCCGGAGGCCAGTCCGGAGAAGAAGGCCATCGAACATCCGCTAATGAGCACCGGCGGACGGGGACGCAGTACGGATCTGGGGAATATTCTCTTCGTGTCCTGCGCGACGGGATCGTCGCCGCCGGTCAAGAGCGTTGCCAGCGCAGCGGTGGGACACATGGCAAGCAATGCACTGCCCAGCGACGCAAGCGGTGAGTTTTATTCCGAAAGTGAACGACAACGACCGAGCTGGTCCGATTTGTTAGAAAATAAGCTGCAATAAAGTGAATAAACGGAATTTGAGTGTACATAATAGGGAAGACAAATAACTGAAGCTCAGTAATAACGAATTTTGACAGTCTTTATTAATATAACCAGTATGCAAAATAATGCACAGCTAATTTCATTTAATTTGGAAAATACCTAATTGACCTTATGAGCAAATAATCCAAAAATCTCCACCGCGAAGGTGTATCTATTATTGCATTTTGTTAGTGGAGAATTAATCGACCAGAATACAGAGCGACCGCGGTAACAATGGTGATGTAAACTTTATCGACAATAGCCAGTATACATAACAACATGCCTGCGCTGATTTACACTAATAAAAATGATCGAACAATGGTGATTGTGTTGCAGTGAACAATGCAACAGCGGATCTGTCGAGCGAGATGAGCGCGAAGTGGGATCCCAGTGCGGAGAGCTGTAGTGACCACATTCCCGTTGACTCCGATCTGGGCCGCGCCCGGGTGGAGGGTACCGTGTGGATCGGCAGTCAGAATCGTGGGTAATTTCAACGATCATATTGGAACAGTTTCGTGTAATGACGTGTATGGCACCGCTCCACTGAACACTGACGCCTTGATGCAGGTTGTACATTTATCACGCGTCGCGGATATATCGCAAACGCCTCAGCAAGGTGATCCTGGACGACGCGGTCCTCTGCATTGTGTGAGTGCTACGCTCGGCGAAATGTCAGTAATTAACCTAGAATTCGTAAATAATTAGTTGGATAATACAACCTTTTATGATTGTATCGAATTTAAAGAAGTTAGTAAGTCAGTATAGCCATGGGTGAACTGGCACTCCTTAAGATATGTACTCTGTACATAGTGTGCTGGACATACTGTCCGGTATGTGATTTTCGTAGAATAATGGCTGACGGGCCAGAAAAAGAACGAACGAAATCGCTGACCGTACCGTTGAGAAATGAGAACTGATAGCAAACTATAACGATGTGATGATTGTTTTTTCTTCTTTCTATGAAAATCTCACGTTCTATTTGGACAACAGTTTTTGATTTATTCAAACAAAATTTTAAGAGCTTTAATACTATTATGCGAGTAGTAGAACATGTTATACACAATGTGTTTGTGTAACGGCTTCATTTCTTCTCAAAAGTGAGTTCCCTCGTAACTGGTACGAGAAATTTCGGTAATGGAAACACCTTGTAAAAGCGCTAGTACGTTATGGTTATCGTATTTTCTTTGTCGCTTTATGTGTAAAACAATAGAGAATATCTATGAATCCATACATATTCTAATTTCGTCTTTCTAATACGATATCCATAGGACCATAATTAAGGAATATTTTGGATATAATAACAGTAATAATTTCAGTAGAAAGTATAATCATAACATTCATGAATTGATATATTTTCAGGCGTGTGGAAATGCAGTCATATAATATTTTCGCCTGAGTATGTAGTGAATTAATATAGGTAGCAGTGCCCAAGCTGAATGTTTTCTGTATTTCGGCAGACATACGACGGGCCGCGTGCTGGCCTCGTTGGCGGACGGGCGCGTGGCGGTGTTCCGGCGGGTGCAGCCGGGTGGCTGGTGGGACACGACCAACTACCACCTGCTGAGTCTGGGCCAGGCCGACCACGCCATCCGCGCCATGAGCATCGTCCCGCCGCCCTATCCCGACTACATCCCCGGCATCCGCCGCAGCCCGGGGGCGGCTGGCAGTGAGCAACGGGACTGCGTGTGGGCCGGTTGCCGGAACAAGATCCACGTCGTCGATCCCCTCTCCATGAAGATCCTGGTAGGTACAGTGGATAAGGAAAGTAGCTCGTTGAATGGTCGATAAAGTGACAGTTTTTCGTCCGCTTTGTGAATGCCACTGTATGGTGTCTAAAGTGGTTGACAGTCGTCGTAGCGTAATGGCTGTGAACAAAGCAATGAACTCGTGTAAGCACAGGGAAAAGAATAATAACGTTAATACTTTGCCTCTGCAATGGAGATTTGCGGTTGTAAAATGAACTTTTGAGTAGAAATAGTTTGTGTTTGTGGCTAACGTAATGCATGGATGCTGCTGCGCTTAATGAATTTTTTTTTATGAACATGGACGCTCGGTTAAATCACAGGAAATAGATGTTGTAAAATGTATACTGATTATTTTCAGTGGTATATGTCGTTGTTAAGACATGTTGTTAGTGTTTGAACGTCATTGCAGTATTACGGAAGTATGAGTTAATCTGTGCTAGCCTGCTAGGTAAGGGTCGCTTGCGCATCTCGCTGGTGCGCATCACGGCCATGTCGGCCTCCTGCCGCGCCTGTGGATCGGCACCAGCACCGGCGTCCTCCTCTTCATTCCCCTCAGTTTCACGCCAGGTAAGACTCCATTATTATTTCATTTTTTTGTTCCATTAATATTTTATTTTACAATTTTTCTCCAAATTATACATTTATTATCACTGTTACTGTTATTAATTTAGATGCCAGCAACCCGGACAAGGAGGCGGCCAGTCGTATCGAAGTGTCTGCCCGGGTGTGATGACCCCCTGGCGCAGGTGTCGTATCACGGACGCCGGGAGGAGGTCAAGTTCTTCGTCTCCATTCCCGGTGCGTTGTATTGCGCTGATCCCCGTGGGACATCAATCCGTAATGCACGCATTAGTGATATTTAAAAATGATTGCTCAATGCAGGAACGTACACACTCGGCGGGGCCACGCCTTCCAGCAACGACCCGAAGGCCAGCCAGGAGGACGCCAGTCTGCTGGTGTCCGGGGGTGAAGGCTACGTGGACTTCCGCTACGGTAAATTGACCAAATAAATTCATTAGATTTATTCAGTAATAAATAGCTCATGCAGTGCATTAAGAATGGTTATCTTAAGAATGGTTAGAAAGGACCTGAATATCTCGCAATCAGTCAGTTTAACTGAAGTAACAGCTCTGGTGAAATGCAGCAGTGTTGTAGTGTGATGGCTTGTGCATGTTTGCATACGCTTTGTGTGCGGCTTATTGAAACTGTAAACCTTGTTAAGACTTTGTAATAGTGGGATAATAATGAAATTGTTTTTAATTGAAGCATTTTGCAATGTACAATAATTCACTCCTACAATATTACCGAAAAATAATTTGCTCAGTTGTAATTTTATGATGTATCGATAATTTTAAAGGTTTTGTCGTTTGAACAACCGTAAATTTACGTTTGAGAAAATTCGTATGACTGTGACAAATACCAGCAACAAAAATTTCCCTTGTTGCATCACGCAAAGAAGTGTATTGCTGTATGGAAATTGTTCACAGATGACAGTGCGGAGAGCGGACTGGAGGATTCTCCGGGCGGCAACGCGGAGCCGCGCAGTATCCGCTCGCACCTGATCGTGTGGCAGACGCCGACCACGCCCACCACCTCCGCGCCCCGATCCTGAAGGAGAGCGACGGACACCCCTCCCTCCCCCGGGGGCGGCAGCTAGCAGGACAGGCGCAATGCAACGGACAGCCGTGATGGTCTCTAGTCGGTGACGCAGATTATGCAAGGATGGTTTTGCCAGTTTATTGCACTGACCTTTCGTTTGTACGGCTTCCAGTATGGTGTTCAACAGTGTTTTCGTGTTCATAGTGCTTTTACTTGTCTTTTAATTGGAGTTTCTATTTGATTTTACTGATTTTATGCGTTTCTAAATGGATTTTTTGATATTTTTTTGTTTTTTTTGTGGTGGTAGTTTTCTGTGGATTTTGCGAATTTGTGATTGGTGTTGTGTTGTGTTCGGGAATCGTGATTATGGGAAATGGAAATAAAATAAATTGAACGATAATACTGTAAAAACATTTGGTATTTTTTTAGATTTTTGAATAAAGTTTTCGCACGGTGCTTCATGTTTGCTACAAAACCCTAAGAATCTGTCCTTCCTTACAAGTGTAAACATGATGATTTAACAATAAATACTTCTATACATGTGCTTACCCTGCCCCAGTATCTTAAATGAAGGGAAGTGACCCGGTACATGTTTCCAAGTTCGTGTACTTGTACATGCACGAAAATATTCCCTTTAGCGCACTCTCAAACACATTTTGCTTTGTTCTATGACATTATGTAGCCGGATGCTGTGGATATATAGGCGTGAACACCAAATGCGCGCGCAACTTCCGGTTCAGGAGCTGTGGCTGTAAGAAAATTCCAAAACGTTTAAATGCATTAGAGGTGTACTTACCAATAGTCTCATTATGGGCGATCTCCTTTAACTTTTGCACGAAGACGCCGATATGTAAACATGAAGATCCTTTTACACCAAATTTTAAAATGACGTATTTATCATGCATACGCGCATCTAAGTATGTGCAACCTTTAGAGGATCTGTCCAAAATGGGACTTTTGGTATGTACAATTGTACACCAGAATACATGTTAACTTCTCGGAATTTTCTTACAGCCACAACTCCCGAACGGATGTTGCGCGTACAAACTGTTCCTCGCCTATGTATATAAATCACTACGCATATATAAATTTTTGGAAGCGAGCGAAACCGAAGATTTTCATGCTTGTACAGCATGCGAATTTACGGTAGTACCATGTACCGGGTCACTTCGAGTACGTAATATCGATTGATTTTAGTAACGATGCTCGTCATCAAGAATGTAACGGTATGTTTTAACTATGGCCAGTAAATATTCCAAAATTGTGTTTTTATTACGCCAGTACCGGTGGTTAAGAACTGTATTTTCGAAAGGCAATCTGCACGCCATTATTTTGGGAAACATAATATGCTTCGTCCAACATTCTACCAGTACGAGCCACGAGTAGGCCAGGGTCAAAAAGAGGGAGGAATTTTGAGAGGGAGGAATTTCTGCGTGGTCAAAAAGAGGGAGGAATTCATGAAGGGAGGGAGGGAGGAATTTTGATATATCAAAAGAGGGGGAATTTTTTTCAGTTCAAAGGAAGTACTTAGGGACCTCGAACCCAGGTCTCCGAGGCCACCAAGATTTTCTCATTATATACAGGCCAGGGTCAAAAAGAGGGAGGAATTTCTGAAGCGAGGGAGGGAGGAATTTTGATATGGTCAAAAAGAGGAGGAATTTGAGAGGGAGGAATTTCTGCGTGGTCAAAAAAAGAGGAGGAATCATGAAGGAGGAGGAGGAATTTGATATGGTCAAAAGAGGGAGGAATTTTTCGAAGTTCAAATGAGACTCAGGGACTGAACCCAGGTCTCCTGAGGACAAGAATTTTATTAATATTTCAGGTTCAAAAAAGAGGGAGGAATTTTTTTTCTGAAGTACTTAGTGACCTCGAACCCAGGGGCCACCAAGAATTTGTATGAAGGTCTGGTCGAAGAGGGTCCCCGAGGTCGCCGAGATTTTCTCATTAAGATGGTATCAGATGGCGCTGACTAGGCGCGCATCGACCATCGACGGCGAAACAAAAGCAAACCCGGATGAAGACTTTAATGCCGAAATCTGACGCACACCGCGCTTTGCGCGCAAGCCAAGAACCAACTGGTCTCTGTAGGCAGCGCAGCTGCCTTACAGAGCCATCAAAACGCATGAAAATGCCCAGACAGGAAAAAACCCAAAACCAACCAATGAGAGAAGGGCTGAATCATAAGCCCGCCCTGACATCCCTGTACGGTCTAACACTGAGCTCCTGCGAAGTGCAGGTAAATGGCGTGATGCGCCGTAAAAGAACAGTGGATACAGGGACCGGTACGGTCCCTGTACTATATCTAATAGACTGTACTACCGGGTGGCTCGGTTCCAGTTCGGTCGGCTCACGTGGTCCGGTATGGGATCTGGTTCAGTCAGGTTTGGTCCGGCTCAGTCCCGGGTTGGGCGGCTCGGATCCGGTTCGGCTCAGGAATGTTTCTGGGCCGGTTTGGCTCGGGTTCGGTCGGTCTGGTCCTGGTTCGGCTTCATGCGGTCCAGTGCCTGGGTCAACGCACTGTCGCGCCAGAATCCAGGGTCGGATGCGAAAATCGGTAGATTCCGCATTTTATCCGTCTGGGGAAAGGTCATGGTCTGGGGAAAATCGGGCAGGGTTTGGGCACAGGTACGGCCATGACCCTGCAAACACAAAATACGCTGCTCCGGTGAGGAAATTCCGCTGCTCCGCCGGGGGAAAGGTCGCTGTGGCAGGGTTTTGGTGGGGTGAATTTCTCGGCGTGGTGATGGTGGTCGATCCAGCCGTGGGGATCGGGGTTGGCATGGCTGTTGGTGGTGGTGAAGGGTCCGCAGGTTTCCTGCTGGTCCGGGTTGCGTCCACCGTCGGCATCCGTCATCGGTACGGTGTGGCTGTGGGTTTGTCCGTCCATCGCTGCACTTCTGGCTTGGCGATATCTCCATCCCTTTCTGGGAGAGGCAGTTTCCTCCGCGTTCTGCGGGAGTGACGGCACAGCTCCGGCGACTGACGGGAAATCCGGGGGAGCCGGGTGAGCTCCGTACCCGGGGTTGGCACAGGACGCGATCACGCGATCTGGTCCACAACTCAGAGGTGGCCCGTGAGCGGGGCAAGCCCGCTGTGCAACACACGAACGTCTCCGTGAGCTGCTACCATATCAGATGGCGCTGACTAGGCGCGCATCGACCATCGACGGCGAAACAAAAGCAAACCCGGATGAAGGCTTTAATGCCGAAATCTGACGCACACCGCGCTTTGTGCGCAAGCCAAGAACCAACTGGTCTCTGTAGGCAGCGCAGCTGCCTTACAGAGCCATCGAAACGCATGAAAATGCCCAGACAGGAAGAAACCCAAAACCAACCAATGAGAGAAGGGCTGAATCATAAGCCCGCCCTGACAATGGCGAGCGAAGCGAGCCCGCGTTTCTAATTCAAGACATGTTGACGGTTCGCTGAAACGGAAGCACCAGTGACCTTTAGGTTGCCACGTGACCTTTGGGTCGCCACCGATTTTCATGGTGATTCCTATACAGTTTGACATGCTGAGTCGAACTGAATACTCGGGGACCTCGAACTGGGACCCCGAGGTCGCCATCACGACATGTACCATATGTGCACATTGTGATGTGCTGAGCCGAAATAAAGTACTCATGGACCATCGAACCCGGGTCCCTGAGGTCGCCACTACGATATGTAACATATACTCACTGTTTGCTATGCTGAGTCGAACTGAAGTGCTGGGGTTCTCGGAACCGCGTCCCCAAGTCGCCACCACGATACATATTTTATATCCATAGTTTGATGTGCTTTATCAAACCACTGCGGGAGGTCGTAGAAACCGGGAATATTTCTAAATATTCCTAAATGTTTCTAAATATTTTCACTAACATTTCTTATTATATTTCCACATATTCCTAAATACATTTCTAAATATTCTAGATATTTTTCGACATATTCTGACTATATTTCAACATATTTTCGATAGTAAAAAATATATCTGAAAATACGTCTTAACACATTTCTAAATATATTTTTGATAATTCTAAAATTAATTTTCTGATATTTCTGTACAAACAGCTTCTAAATATTTCTCAATACTTCTAAATATTTCGCAATATTTCTAAATATTTCTCAATATTTTTTTCAATGATTCTCAATAATTCTATAAACATTTTTTATCATGTTTCAACCTTTTCCTAAGTTTGTTTTAAAGTTTTAATATATTTTAAATATTCTAATTACGTTTTTAATTCTTTTTCACATTTTAAAATTCATTTTAAATAGTTCGACTTCTCAATTGCTCTACCATTTTGAATTACGTGAAACGTAAACGTAAAAATTCTGATTACGGTGTTGAGAATATCTGAGAAATAAAATACCGTAAATATAAAACTGGTTTGAAAACAAGGTTTTAAAACGGGCATTTCCTTCAAAATACTAAATTTTTAAATATCAAAATACATAGCATGCCGAATTTTATCTAACTAGAACCTGTACGTTATTATCCATGCTGAATATTTTTGAAACGAATTACGTTATGTAATGCTACTGTAGAGATGAATTCGAACACCACTTTTAGATCGAATTTCTTAATTGTTACCGCAAGCTTTGGATCATAAATTCAGATTATATTATGATATAATCTGTTGTATTTTATCACCGTTCGGATTCTAAATTTGCATTGGAAAAATGAAGTCTTGCTAAAACAAAATTGTATATTTGAAACATTGATTTTTTAAAGCAAATCAACAGCGCATTTCCTTTATCTGCGGATGACACTTTGTAACACAGCTACATATGACACAATGCTTCATAATGAGATGTGCCGGTTTGTTTTAAAACTCATTGAAATTTCATACAATATGTTGTATCTCCTACTCTAGTATAAGGTCAAGCGGGCGGCGGTTTTTAATTTAAAATGTATAAGGCAACGAATGCGTTAAGCATTAACAGGTATGCGCTGAAGCTGCTGAATCAGCCTAGCAGATTGGGCTTTCAGATGTACATCTAAATTCTCATTATGAACCACCTTTGTTAAAATCGTACATGTAATTGCGCATAATTATGTGAGCCGTTTTACACCATGATTTAATTTCCGTTTCAAAATCATGAATTACTTTATTATTTCGGGTTTTTAAAATAAAAAATTATTAAGCAGCCAGAAAAAAATTAAAATTTTTATTTTATTTAGTGTGAGTGAGTTTTGTCTCATTTTTCATTCATCACTTTACACTGGCATTTAAGTTATATTGCGAATCGCTTTTCATCATTTGATAACTTATCCTGTGCAGATGGTTTATACAAAATATTTAGGAAAAAAAATTCATTGGAACTGATATATCGGTGTTTTTGCGCAACATTTTTGAAAACCAAATTAACGCCTCAGATAATATTCCTATTTCGTTCTG